CAATGTTAGTGCATAGGACACCTAGATCTTGATGATGCTTTTCGCATAATGTCTCCATCTTTTCTCACCAACATTCTAATTAGTTTTACTTAAACCTGTTGAAATATGACCATAGGCAAAACCTTGTCAAAAATAAAAAAGAGGGGACGTTGTGAGTTGCTGCTGTGGCCGCAACTCTACATTTATACCCGATGCATAGTCAGTATGGGTACATTGAACGACATCCCGTACGCACTACGGGAGATGGTATAACAACACCAGCCTTTGGCGAAAATTCGGCAAGTGTATCAACCGTAGTGAAGAAATCGTTCGATCTTTCCAATTGATTGAAATTTGACAAATTTATGGCAACAACAAATTCGTTTCCCAATACAATACAAAATTGAACGACTCACAAGATAAATGAAGTGTCGAGAATAGAAAATATAAAAAAATTTAAATTGAATACGATTACCACACAACCATTTCATATTTTCTTATTTTTTGAGTACTGACAATATCAAATTCCATTGTCATTGCTGTGAGTCCGCGGATGGGTGGACGGAGAAGATGGTGGGTGATATGCGTGCTTGACACTGAAATAGTCAGCTCTTTGATCTTGATGACATCGACAGGGATGTGGATGTCGCTTTCGATGATGATGATGACATTGCGCAATTTCTCACCAGCAATTTTAACATCATCAATTTTTTGTTATACGTCCTTTTGTTGAGAATGGTTTTTGTTGCCTAAGAACTTGCGTTACTATGTATTTGTCAACCTTGTATGGAAAATAAAAAGACAAGAAGTGGATGCATGAGAGCATCAAATAAGTGTGACTTTGCGGAAAATGGGACAAATATGAAAACTTGGAACAAAATTTAAGCAAATGTATCGAAAACTATGTCCTTTATATTTTATTCAAATGTGATCACAATTTATGAGTGGATGGGTTGATTAAAACCACTTGTTGAAATTGGGTTGTTTATATGTATGTGTCGGAGATGCATGAGAATGAAGGATAAAGAGATGTATAGCATTGAGAAACGGTAACAAAAAAGAAAGAATACGCTGTAGAGTTGAGTCTGTTATGCTTTCAATTCGTGTTTTGCTGAGAACGAGGCTGGAGAGCGAGAGAGAGAGTCGTCTCGGCCGAGTGTGGCGCGGTGTTGTTGCATTTGAGAGAGCGACTTCAAAAAGGAATTGCGGAAGGAGAGCAAGTGAATCTGGCAGTGCTGTTTCGAGCAATGCGAGAGCTGAGAGAAGCAGAGACAAGAATGTGCTCGACAGTTCATGGATTTAGTAGCGAGAGACAAAACCGCGACTCACTGCGCACGAGGCTAAAACGTAATGCAAGAAGAAGAGCCCCCTGTCCCTCAGCCCCCGACATATGTATTAGATCAAGTGTATATTATTAATAAATATAATGAAAAAAAATGAATGAAAACATACTTTTTTGAAGATCTACAGTAATACTACACATGTATTCTGTTAGTATTCTATTTAGTTTCTAGGGATGGCATTCTGAGAAAACATAGATTTTTTTTCCAACCATTGCTGAATCCCTTTCTTTTTATTTTTTTACCAGATACCCGACATACTTTAGATCTACTACTTCTCTTTATCGTGATCGACAGGAAGGTACATCCGGTTATGTACGGGTGTTCTGAACAGTTTCCTTTCATAGTTATCAGATGCCGTATTACGAGTTTGTGCACCACCACCTTGCTGGGCCAAAGCAACTTGCCACTCGCATAAAAGTGTGCAACATATTTGCAGTTTGTTGCAAAAGGCAGCCCATGATGACGGTGAAGACGTCGACGTTTGTGCAGAGTTGCGCTGCTCTGCGCTGCGCTCTTCTGCGTTGAGTGAATAAAGCAAGATGCTGATGAAGAAGAAGCGTACTTGGTGCTGGAGAGGGGGACGGGGAGGAGGTGGAAAAGTTTCCAGTTTCGAGTTTCACTTTCGTGCCCAAGTGATTTGTGTGAAGGTGTGTGTTCGCTTGAGGTGCACATAACAGTTAAGTAATGTCTTAAAACTTTAACCATGAACAAGGTAAGAGCATCCGCGAACCAAACTGGCCCAATCATACCCCATCCTCCCACCCACACACACAACAAATGTGCAAATTATGCAGCCTCTGGGAAAATGCTTCGATGGGTGGGCGTGGGCCCAGCCTAAGCTACTTTTACCACAAACTTTATTAGCTGGCCTCACCTTTTTGGCTTTGCTTTATGCCTTTTGCACAGCCATACCCCAGACCCCACTACCATACAAAAAAGTTCCCCGACTCAACCTTTACCCCGCTTAGCGGAACAAAGTTTAATCAATTTTCTAGCGTGGCCGCAGTGCACTTTAAATATTTTATACTCTGCATATAGTCGATGAAAATTAACCAAGGAGCAGCCTTTTTTGTGCCATCAACTTGTAATTAGCCAACAAAGTACTTAATTTTTGTCGACTTTTCTTGCTCGCTTTGAATGGAAAAAGTCCTTTTCCTTTAGAAAAAATATTTCAATACCGAAAAACCGGAGTTTTATTTAACCATTGGCTGTACGAAAGTTTACAGACAAGAGAAGAAAAGTTGTTCATTTTTGCGGGTTCATTAAAGGAAAAGAATGTCTAAGCGGTAAAACAGTTGCAGATGAACGGTTTCTTTGATCGGTTAAATATTCAACTTAAGGTGATAGAAAAGCTGATGATGAAAGCTTTTCTTTCGTCCGCTAGAGGATGACAGTTTTGAATACTATTGGATAAACACTATCTCCTGATTTATGCAATCCTGATTTTATTTCGCGTTTATTACAAGACTTTATCCTCGATGTCATTGCCATTACCAATATGAAAAACGTTGCTTCGTGAGAAAACTTTGACATAGTACAAAATCAAGTGAACCACCAAAAACATAAATTATCTCAGGTAAAAATTGTTTGAAATTTCTCCATTATTCCTCTTTACTCACAATAAAAAAAAAAATATTTCTGTAATAGCTTTCACCAATTTGGCGCTCAAATTCTCAAAGTCTTACAATTTTCATGGGTATTTAAGTACCCATTGACCCTTAATGTGTTAAATAAACCAATGCGATCAGCTCATATATTATAGGGAGAATATAGAGTCGAATTTTTCTGTAACTTATTCTACTTGTTAGACGTGCACTGCTATTGTTTCGATTAAATTTGAAATTTTGGCGTTCGAAAAGGAACGAAACTGTGTTCAGAAAAAGTGACACTTTACTCACGGTTGGATGATGGCGCGACCACAGATCATTTTTATTTTCTTTCACAATTCACATTACTTTGTCATTTATCACTGGCCGCGAAATGTAAGGCATGTAAAAATACGAAAAATTTTCAAGTAGCTGGCCTCGATTTTTCAAGGAGTTATTCCCCCCTGGTAGTGCCTTTTCGCTGCGCACACAGACGAAAGAAAGTCGCAAAATGGAAAAAGGAAACAACTTTTGTTATAAAGCGTGTCCTGTGGCAAATTCCGTTCGCCTTCCACACACAGAGACACACATACACACACCCGTAATTGCAGTGTCTTCTTCTCGTTCTGTGGCATGGCTTCAGCTGTCAATTTTTTTGTTCTTTTTCCGTGTTCCGCTTTCAACGAATTAAATGGCATGAAATTAAAAGTTACTGCGAGAATTTTTGTGCTGCATTTGCAGGAAAACGTGAGAAATTATAAGTACAAAAGCGTGGGAATGAAAAGGGAAGCGCGAAAACATGCCAAGCAAAAAAAGGAATCAAAAGGGAAAAGAAAGGAATGATAAAATATGAAAGAAAGCCGGAGAACGAGCGCCAGCCCCAGCCCCAGCCCCAAGCCCGTGCGCGTGTCTGGGTGGGTGGATGGTGAAACAGTTGAAAGACAACAGGCAAATCTACTTAAATATCCAGGCGAATAGTAAGCCTTTCTCTTCTTTTCCATTCTTTATGAATTACTCTCGCTCTCTGTCCTCTCTGTCTTTTGGCCCCCCATTCCCATTCGCTCTTCTGTTGGGATTTCCTTTGTCCCTTGGTTAAGTCCGTTTTGTATTTTGCTGGCCCCACGTTTGTACATTATGCAAGTTATTTTCGCAACCTTGTGGAAAAATATGAAATCAGCGAAATATATTTATGACTTATTTTGTTAGAAGGACAAAGGAGCGGACTCGTCCCACAGAGACAACCAGAGAAACCGAGAAAATGAAAGTTGATGGAGTTTGGCTTAGCAAATGAAAGAGATGGAGAATTCTGCGGCCAGGAGTGGAGTGGATTGCTTGAGATTAAGATACTTCAAATATTTTTTTTAACCTTCGGTCTATGAGTGAGAAAAGAGATAGAATAACTCGTATAAGATACAGCGGAAATAAATATATCAAGCAAGTGGTTTTCGGGAATGATACGTTTTCGAGTAAATTGAAATGGGACTACAGGAACTACAGTTTCTAAATTCAAAATTTTTGTATCCTTAACAATCTTCCATCCCTTTTCCTGTTCTTTTGTTTCTTAGAACTATTAAACATTTTCTGTTTGCCTTGTCGACTGCCTTGGCTGTATGTGGAGCAAACGAAAAACAATTTATGTGTGTCAATGCGGGTCAGGGCAGTCGTGTTTTGTTTGTTGCTCTATACTTTCAGCCCGATATTTGGCCGCTAAATGCTATCTGCCTTGGAACGTATTTGGTTTTAATGCCTCTCATATTTCTGGAATTGGTTTTTAGCGTTCTGTTGATTCTAATACTCTCACAGTTAGGGTAGTCTTTTTTTGTGCGGAAGCTTTCAGGATTTGAGACCCCACATTGTGGAAGTGGAACCTAGGTTTGAATCCTGGTGACGGCAATACTGTAATGCAAACATGCATTATCATGGAGTCGTGTTTTCTCTTAAATCTGTTTTTTTTTTTTTTGTTAAATATAATTTTCCTGATGATCCAGACGAAACCTAAATGAGAACACCGAGCATTTTATTTCATTTCGAATAGTTTCGTTTCATAATTCAGATATAAAATTAGATATAGCATACACAATTTTTGTAACTTTTTTGGCAAAAGTTAAGCATGGACTCCGGATTTACGACTAGTCATACCGAATCCGATGTATATGAAAACAAATATTCAAGAGATGAGGATAATATGGAAAAATTTTATGCAACTGTCGGGAATATATCCAGAAACATGCGTAAGGGAGATTGGACATATTTGCAACGCCATCCGGAAATTCGAGCCATAATACGTACCATAATAACTGAGGCCATTGAGAAGAAACCCATCAATATTTTTCAATTTGCAGCTAATCTATTTCATTGCAATAATGAATTGGAGTTAGTGCGAAAGGTTGGTTTGCCATTTATTGTTTCGATGAATTTATAATAACGTCGAGTTATTTCCAGATTAACAAGCAACTGAAATTGGTTAACCAACAGTTGAGGGGGGGAAACTGGGGACCGGCTGATGGGGAAGTGTTATTTACAGAGTCCAGTGATGTTTTTACGGAATTGAAAGCCGAGTGCAAGCCCAAATTCTTGAATCAAACAGTTGAACCGCAAATGAGAGAGACCCGAGAACCCGTGGGTCCAGAAACCTTTAAGCCCAGCTGTCCGGAAAATCTGGAGACCAAATGTTAACGCTTACAAAATAATATAACAAGCATTTCGACATTAAACCGCTCTTCTCTACCAATACTAATAGGCCGCCAGTGTTGCTAGAGCCGGTACACGGCGTGGTCCCGTTTTGCGGCCCATACCCATACCATCAGACAGTTAATTTCGCACAATATTAATTGAGTAGTGTTTAAAAACTTAAAAGTAGATATAAACATCCCCGAGTATTTTCGCTGTCGCACCCAATGTCGTAAGACGCAAGGCAACTTTAATTATAGCGAATAGTACAGTTATTCGGAGGTATGCGATATTTTGTAATACGTGAATTTATGCAAATGGATAATATAATATGTCCCATCCACATTGGAGTGATTTTCAATTCCAAAAAGGGTACTAAGAACTTCGTTCTGCGGACTCGTTCATCTCTTTTTCCACTTTTTCGATTTGCTTGTTTTGACTCTCCGTGCGTGGGAGAGAGGCTGGATACAAATTTGTTCAATCATTTACTGATAGATTTTCGCTGCTGGTAGTGGTGCTTTGCTCTACTGCCGCTGGTGTTGGAGCTTTATTGCTGGGGGCCATGGACCTGCCATATATGTGTGTAGTTTAAAGTGTAGTAAATATTTGCGCTACAACAATGTTTGCACTCGGTTGGAAATTTGCAACCATTTTTTATGAACCCAAAACCCCGCCGTTTTTGTGAATCCTTTGCTTGAAACCGAAACGGAACGGGTGGAATGATTTTGATTTTTGTTGGTGGGGGTTTATTTATTATTTTATAGCTAGATTGTGACGTGGATTTAGTGGAGCGATATTTGGTTTAGCCCGCTAAACAAATACTGCATGAGAGCCGCGAATGTTTTCTGCAAAAGTAATTGCACCCAATCGCATATGGAATATTTACGATTCGAAATGTCAGAGTTAAACTTTCAGACCGACCCTGCCCCCGCCCCTGCCACGACGCACAGTGCACACAGTTTAATTGAGTTGGTCCCGGGTGGAGTGGGAAGGGGAGGAGGAGCCTCGGACCGGACTTAATTGAATTTTCGCTAATCCAATAGATTAAGGAGCAGCAGCAGCAAGACTGCTCCCACTGCTCCATCTTCTCCCTCTGCTGCAGTGCTGACCCTGCCCTGCGCCTCTGTTGGCTGTAATGCAATGCAAAAACAATAACAAAATTATGCTGGCCAACAGCAGGGGCAGCTGACAAGGCTAAGCCTCGTCCCAGCGGGTCTAGGAAGATGACCTCAAAAGTGCAGCCAAAGTATCGCCAAGAAAGGGACAAGTCCCAGAGCCACAGCCCTCTGCACTCTGTACAGGCCTGGGACCCGTCTCCAAGGATGGCAACAGTGTCTTTGCAAGGGCATAGTTTTCTTTCATCTTTCAATCCTCATTGTTTGCGGACATTTTTTTCTTGAATATTTCAGCATTCCTCGGAATTTAATTAGCCCGGCCCGGACCTGGACCTCACTAAGCATGCCCTATGCTGAATTTAAATCATGCATAAATTAGCAAATTTTCCGCACACACAATTTCCGAGCGAGTCACATTTGCTTAGCGCATTTTCGGGGGCTATAACTAATTATATGTTGACATGACATTTATTTGACTTGCATAAATTAGGCAATTAGTTGATGAACGATGAACGTTAATTAAGTTTCTGGAAAGGCGCTAAGCCAGGTGTTGAGCTGTGGGCGGGAGGAACAGCAGGATAAGTACGGTTACCAAAAAGGAAAGTGCGAGGAAAATTTTAGGAAAATACGAGTACTTTTATCAATGTGTTTGAGTATGTCTTTGAAAGACAATAGTGTCTCGCAAAAGGATATCCAAAGAGTTGCTCTCTTAATTGAGGTATTTAGAATACAAGAACTGTTCTCATGAAGACTACTATAATGTTATTCAATATTACAACTATGTATACATATTAGATCATAAATGTACGTTACATGAATGTAATATGTCTCTAGAATCAGTCCTCATCTGCCCCAAAAGCTCTTCTTGCCTCATTCTGCTCATCTCAGAGGATCTACCCTTCATCTGAAGGGTATCAAACCTGAAGGAATGACTCAGGGGAGACAAATGTAATTAAAGAATATGTAGATAGGTTATACTTTTAGATAGAAATTTCGAGAGTATGAGAACGATGCAACTGTTTCGCGTACATTTTATCGTCTTCTCTCGGCCAAAAGGTGAATGACGCTGGACATAGAACATTTTCGACACATTGTGGCATCGTCTGTGGCAGGGTCCCACACTGACCTCTCTTTTTTCCGATTCTGCCGCGTGGCGTATACGCAATAAAGGAATGGTAGCCAAAAGCCCGGCCAAATGATGGGTTGAGTGCAGCCGACGGTTCCCCACTGCAGTTGGGCGACGCTTGTCATCATTAGATTAAAGTGCAACCAACAGAGAGAAAGAGAGAGCAATATGAGAGAGATATGTAGAATGAGAGGGAAGTTGCACACATACACAAGCGCATACAAAAGAGACAGAGACAGAGAGACAAAAATTAAACTATGGGGCGTTGCCTTGTTAGGATGTGCGTTAAATTGTAAAACAACAGAGCGGAGTGGGGAGTGGGAGTGGGGGCAAGTGGGTGTGTGGGTGTGTCAGTGGTGGCAATGTGTACTACAGGACTGCACCCATCTGGCCAGTGTTATCCTGGCTGTCATGCTGTGGCCAGCTCTCGTTTATTTTGCGTATTAGACGCTGCTATTTTGTGCTTATTGTTCCCAGTCATTCTCCTGCCCCACCCATTCGCCGTCTATCTCTCTACCCCTATCTATGTAGCTTCCCCTACCCACTGTATTTCGATTTCTCTGTCTGTCTGTCTGTTTGTCCGCTTGTCTGGATGTCGCTACTTTAGCACCCATTCCGTGTCCTGTTATTTTTCGCTTGTTTGGTTTCTTTGGTGTCCCATTGTCAGCTCATTTGTAATTTTTGGCACAACGATTTCAAATTAAGCAACCGGAAATGAGCTGACATTTTGTATTGCTGCTGCTTCTGCCGCTTCTGCTGCTCTTGCCGCTTCTGCTGCTGTTCGTTTCCATTTCGTTCCACGCTTCTGTCGTTTGCCAGCTTAAGGGCACTTTTGTGGCATATCATCATCATTGAGTTGTCCTTTAAGGACACACACACATTCACCAGCACTGAGAGAGATCTGCATTCAAGTTGTCTTGTCTATTATTATGACAATATTAATATTTACATTTTACAGTTATTGTCTAGCCAGAGCATCCTTTTGCACACACCACAAACTATCCATCTCTCGCTCTCTCCCTCTCGCTCTCCCTCTCTACTCCCGTCACTTCTTCTCTTTTTCCCTCACATGGTACACATGTATCCTTTCTCCGCTCTACTCTATTCTATTCTGTTTTGTTTTGCCGCATGCCGTGCCTGCTGGCTCCTATGCATTTGGTGTTTTCTTGCATATTGCTCTATGCTACACCCGCTGCCATTTCTGCCTCTCTTCGCCACTCCACTTTATCGTCGTGTTTGTTCTTGTCAATATGGCTTCCATTTTGTATGTTGTGCATTACTTCCGTTGGATGTTAACCACTTTATCCCTTGTCCATTAAATCATGTTTCTTTGTGGCTTGTTCCCATCACAATTCAACTTCTGTACGTTCTCGTATCATCAGATGGCACATGACATCTTCAAAGAACAGTTCTGCAAAGTGTGGCTGTTAACAAAGCTGTTAACCTTCCTCCATCGTGTTCACATTTTCCGCATATTTCCCTCTGTTGACTTAACATTTCCCTCAGTCGCTTAACATTTCGAAGTGGAGAGCTTTTGCCTCAGTTATTCTCAGTCAGTTGCTTCGCAATGGGGTCTGTCGCTCTCCCCCAATTACAAATTTCCCAGCAACACAGCAGCACTTCGGCTCGACTTTCGTTAAGTGGCGAGTGCGCTCTCACTGGCTGCTCCACCCGATGGCAGCCGAATCCTTCGGACTCTGGCAGCCTCCTGCTGCCGGCGACATCATCGTCGTACTGCTGCTGCTGCTGCTGCTGGGACTCCGGCTAGGGCCGACAGCTTCCTGCCGCTGAGGCTTCAGTTACGTTGATAATGTCAAATCGCTTGGTTCGCTGTGCTGCTGCCTGCGCTGCCGTTGCTGACACCGCTCACGAGGACTACGACCACGACCACGACCACGACCAGTGCCAGGAGCAGGTCCAGGACGACTATTACTACGACAACAACGGTAGAGACACGGGCTTGGGCCACGAGGACGATGGCGACGACGGCCAACGAGTAAATAAATTAAGCGACGAGCAACAGCAAAGTAAATAATACGAGCAGCAGAAAACAAAGCAAACCAAATGAATTAGCAATACATAAAAAGTTAGCAATCTAAATACGAAAAGCAAACACACAGCACACTTGCAACTGCAACTCCAACTGCCGGCTAAAACGTAAAAGGTAAAACGTAAAAAGTGTCAGAATTTGTGAAAATTAATATTTCACCAGAGATTTGAGTGCTTGAGTGCAAACAAACAAAACAAACCGAAAAATACCGAACAAAAACACAGAACAAACCAAACAGCAAACACATAACAGAGAACAGAGAACACAGAAGCTGAAGCCGAAGCCGAAACAGGACAAACTTTTCGGTTTACAAAAGTTTTATTTTACACACTTTGTTCACCCAGTTCCCGTGCTCGCGTAAAATTATGAAAAATATGTGAAAAATGTGCAGAATCCACAAAATACTCGTACAAGAAGAGCAGCAACAAAGGCGACACAAACGGCAACAACAAGAACATTAGCTGGGAGCCCGCCCCTGACATAGGTCAAGCCACTCCGAGCCGGAGAGGTACGAGGAATTTTTTCTGGTCTGTCCCGGAATCCCCTGACGTTTCTTTTCTACTCTGTGCGCGCCAGTGCCAGTGCCGGTGTTCGTGACTGTGTGCGGGAGGAGTAGTGCGGGAGTCCCTGTAACGTGCTAAAATTAGCTAATTTATTGCTCAGACTACAACAATCACAACAATCACAACCAACCCAACAACAAGAAACCAACAGGAACAACAAACCCTTGGCAGTCATAACATTTGCCGTGGCTGCTGGTGCAGGCCCCAAAGGTAAGTGGAAATGCTACTTGGCTGAGATTCTGTTTCCCTTACAAGGAAACGTAGTTGAAAGTTTGGGACTGAACGAGGTGAAGTGATACTGAGTGAAGTGTAATGATAGTATCTGAATCGTTTGAAAAAATATACATATGAATTACGCATTGCATTACTACCCAAAGCACAAAGCAGTCTCTTAAAAGACTAAGAGAGTGTATTTGTGCTTTCATAAAGTATGTCTACAGAAATATTCAGACTAATGTTGGTAAATAACTTTCTGGATATGATCATTAACCATCAATAAAACAAACAATTACGTGTGTCTGCAAGTGAACAGAGTTATTTTACTACCTACACTGATTCGTTAGCCAAATAAATAATGGAAATTATTAATAATTTGCTGTAATCTGTTCAATTAATTCAATTTTTATATTTATGTCAAAGTGAATTCTGTTTAATTTCACTATGTTCGTATCTGAAAACCGTATATGTCATTTGAATAAGGATGTTTTTGGCTCAGTTTATTTCTTACTTAATCCAATTGTGGCAGATTTACCCATTGCTCAATTAAATGAAGGATTCTGGCACAGGCCTTTTCACACTCTTCTAGACTGGGGTACACCTGAGGATAGCAATTGTCTCCCGGTCGTAGGGCCAAACATTTGTCATAGGCAAAATAAAATTGTTGATTTTTCACATCATAGCTGTGACAATTTTGAACTGCCGAAGCAGTCAAAGGCATAAAGCAAAAACATTCATTGCATTCGTAGAGGCCAGCAGCTGCAATTGATTGAAATCGGACTCGGAAAATTGTCAGGTACGAATTATGTTTTTCCTAAATTTACCCAATTCCAGTAGAATCAGCAGAGCTGCAGGCAGTAAAGCAGACATTGCAGGTCAGCAAATGGGAGCCAATAACGAAACGAAATTTAATTGGTAATCTCATTAGCGAAGCTGAATTGAAAGTCGTTAGTCATGCTCTAACGCTTTTCCCCATCGAACGCTTTCAATTCGGCTCTGTCTCCCAAGGCATCAAAATGGGAAAATCTATTCCGTAAGTTTTGTATATATTAGTTTTGAGCTAAGTCATTTATACTAATATGTGGTTCAGTATATTAGCTCTTCTTATTTTATGGGAAACCAGCTCTACAAATCAATTGAAGGCTGAATTTCCCTTTATGGCAAGGGGCATCGGATGTGCCCGAATCAATAAGACAGTTCCCGCTGTAAGTTATATCTTCAACACGACTAGCAGAATAATTCATGTAACTTTTGGCCAGCCCCACTTGGGCAGTGAGCTGTGGATCATTACCAGATGGATGGAAAACCAAAAAATGAAACCATTTAGATGCTTTCAGGACGATTATCCACCAGATATACCTGTAGCCACCCATCAAAGCGGTTTTCTGGGCACTGACAATGGCACCTTTGCAGTGCATTTGATTTGTTTAGACGGAGTTTCCTCGGAACAAAAAGACGACAAACATTATTGTAAGTTTCCGATGGAAGAGGAAATATTTGATTGCTCATCAAATTTTGCTTAGATTTGGTTCAAACATACTCAACAAAGAAAAAGCCTGCACAGTCCACTATGGATGCGATAAGGAAGATCCACGAGGCTCACGGTCTACCAATAAAATGGCTAAGAGGCTGCAATTAAAAGTAAATACAATTGATTTATTTTTGAGCTGTCGTCGCCATTTGTGGCATTAATATTTAAAATATTTACCTGCAATTGAGATGGAATGTGCCGAAAGCGCCGAAAAGCGCTCCACAATCCAACTTCACCGATATGATACAAAAAACCGCGACTAATTTGAATATGTCGCTACGCTTTTCCAGCACGCCGTGTTCTAAAAAAGTGTGTTCAATTGAACTGTCGCCTTCAGCTCGCTTGTATCTAAAAACTTTAAATCCTATGACCTACATCAGTACATCGCGTAACCACAAAGATTGGAATATTTTCACACGGATATTTTTTTGGTTTTAAAACAGTTTTTTGTAGTCTTTTCCGACGCAAAACCAAAACAAGCCATTTTCAGATTTTCCCCGTTTTCCCCCGCTTTTTTTGTTGTTTTTATTCGAGCCAACCAACGTAAAGTTTTTCATGTGCACTGTTTTTTGGGTTCTGTTTTCTCGCTGGCTAACAAAAGTTCGAATGTTAAATGATTTTCAGGGCGGAACTTTGGCATCCCTGAAAATGGAACCGAGCCATTTGTTAGGCTGTCAGGCAACAAAAGAACAAGCAAAAAATGACCATCTCCGCGTGACACGTGAATTTATTGCATTCAAAAATATGAAAAGTTTCATCAAAAGTGCAACAACAGCTAGGACAACCATGACGAGCGGGCGGGGGCGGAGCAGCAGGAATTGAGTTGTCGCCTCTGCCATCCCTAGTAGAAGGGTCCAAAGCAGCCCCACTCGAAGCAGCAGCCGCACCTGTTGGGCACGAAGTAGAAGGGCGGGGCACAGTTGCCGGTGCAGCTGCCGTTGCAGTTCATGCACTTCATGCACGGCAGGACGGGTCCGACGGGACCACTGGTCAGGGCGTATGAGATCACGGCACACGGCTGTTGGCAACAGCAGCCTCCGCAGGGTCCGCAAGGGCCGCAGGGTCCACAGGGTCCGCATCCTCCGCAGGGTCCACAGGGTCCACAGCCACCGCAGGGTCCACAGCCTCCGCAGGGTCCACAGGGTCCACAGGGTCCGCAAGGGCCGCAGGGTCCACAGGGTCCGCAAGGGCCGCAGGGTCCACAGGGTCCGCAAGGGCCGCAGGGTCCTTTACAGCAGGGCTTGCACGGAGCACAGCATTTAGGGGGCCGACAGCTCATCGCAAATGTTGAGTTTTTCAGTGACTGATAGAAGGGCCACCTGCAACCTGCTGCTTGCTCGTTTGCAAAAGACTTGGCGCAAAAAATGTGCTAAATATGCCGGGATAATTGGAAGGATTTCGGTCCGGTCTCAATGCCCCAATGTGGCAGATAAAGCACCTTTTTTTCGCTTCGTTTTTGCAAAATCCCTTCCAGAATTTATCAATAGTTTCCCAATAAGGTGTTGTGGCAAATAAAAGTGAGAAAAAAAGCAAGGCCCATTCGAGGGGAACCCAAAATTCACATCAAAATTTAGAATCAACATTGCCAGCCAGCGGAACAATTAAATTTCATTTTAAACTCTATTTACCCTGTGGTCCCATTTTTGGCTTATGCAGGATATGAATATCTTAACCAAAGCCACACGCTTCCGCCGTACCTCAGTCGTACGTACGTTTATTTGCAGTAAACGATGCGTGGCATGGTGTGGCCGGGTACTCTAGTCCCCTATCGTCCCAGCCCAGTGGTATTCGGTCACTGTGGCTAATGTAATTGATTGTCTGGGGATGGGACTGGGGCTGGGGCTGGCTGGACAGGGACTAGAGCGGAGTGTGTGGCAGATAGGAGTACGTACAGAAAAAAAAAAACGTTCACGGTTCGTTTTGTGTGTGAGAGATATTTGCATGCCAAACAGTGGGTTACATTCGAGAGATTTGGATTTCATGGAGTCATCCAGGCACGGGATAGCCAAAGGTTTAATGAAGAAATTAAAATCGATTAATTCATCGAAGTTTATAGAAGTTCATATGCTCCCCTGTATATCGCACTGTAATTTCTGTCTCACTAATCCCCCGGCCACTTCGTTCCTCTTTTGGCCAGACCTACGAAACGTTTCCGACCGTTTTCAGAAGGGCGGCGTCGACCAGACTGTCCACAGCTGTCAAAGTGAAAGCCCCTAAAGCCTTCACTTCCCATTTCAGTTCGTTGCCTACCTCAGACCTAGTTAGACCTCAGCTCTCGATTTTGTGCTATTTCCCGGCGGTAACGCGAAAAAATAAAGGAAAAAAAACCGTAAGGCTCCAAGATGTGTGGTGGCTGGGCCTGTTCTTCCTACGGACTTGCCTGCTGCAATGGTCCGTTGTCGACACTTCGCTTCACGGGACGGTGCCTGACCCCTACGCCTTGCGGAGCCTGCGACAGCTGTTCGGCCTGTGGCGGAGGCGGATGCTGTGGCGGCGGGTGCTGTGGAGGCGGATGCTGCTGGTAGAGTTTTCTCGGTATCGAATGGTAAGCAATTAGCATCAGAGAAATGATCCCCTGTTGGTCACTCCTATCCTAATTTCTACATGATCCAATAGGCCTTGGATATGCATTCTATCAACCATCCTATAAAAATGATGCCAACGACTGATTCTCAGACACAATCCAGTCGTTGTTATCATAACATCTAGAGTCCTTTACTTGGTAAGTTTTCACAAAGTTTTCCTGTAAAAATAAATTCCTCATTGAGACGTCTCTCGCCTTAGTTCCGTTCTCAACTCCATAGCCAAGATGTGTGGGGGCTGGGCCTGTGCCTCATATAATTTAGCCTGCAACAATCCGCCTCTGTCTACAGTGCGATTCACCGGCAGAGACCTAGTGCCCACACCTTGCGGGCCCTTCGACAAGTGTTGGGTGCGTGACACCAGTCGCCAGAACTCCAACAACTGCTATGTGCCACACAACATAGCTCCTCCCTGTCCCCCAGAGCAGGGAGGGCCGAAAAAGGAACCGCAAATATCCGAGTGCAAGTGAAGGACTCAAGAAATAATAAATTTACGTATCCATAGCCCAAACATTATGAAATAAATTTCCAAGTACACTTTGATGTGCTTTTATTTTGGAAAAATTATCCAGTCCGATCGGCGCATGGCCATGAGAGCGATGGAGCTTTAAGGAACTATATCCTTCATGGGGCTGTCCTTGAAGACTTGGAAAGATTTATAGAATCATCAGGATGATTCCTGATGTCAGATGCTTAATATCGGCACAGATACAGCTGCAGATCCAACAGAGAAAAAAGAAATTGAGATATTTTCAATACATTATTGTTTATTGTAGCAGCAACAAAAACTTCGCTCCTCTAATTGTGCGAGGTGTTTCGGCAACAGTTTGATCTGAGACGAGATTCCTTCTACTCCGCTCCGCTTAGAGTCTCAGTAGTAGGGCCCAAAGCATCCCCATTCACAGCAGCTACAGCAGCGGTTGGGCGGGCAGGTCCAGGGTCCGCAGGGAGGGCAGGGGCCACAGCAGCAGTTGGTGTATTTCATTGCGGGCAGGGCGGGGCCCACTGGACCGTAGGCCAGGGCGTACGAAACCGAACCGCAGGCAGAATTACACATCTTTCAGGAACGGAGGAAACTGAAAAAAAAGATTAACTGATTCACGAATAATTTTCAGAAATGTCAAATTTACACTTTGCCGTTTGCTAGAGATCTTTCGAAAAGATTCCAAAGTTTTTGGAGCGAAGAATTTGGTTTGCTTTTGTTTTTTACACGAAAATTTAGGAGATGTGTACGGCACGAGAGACTAAACTGAAATGAGAATGTTCTACACACATCTGATGTACGTTTATGGGATTCCATCCGAAGGCACACTTGATGTCGAAAATTTTAAATTTTAAAACAAAAAGATGATTCGGAAAAGTGGGAGCTGCCTTAAATATCGATCAAAGTCAAGTTCTTGCAGTTGTTTTTGTTTTTATTTGTTTTTGTTGTGGTTGCTGGTGCTCAGCTCATGGCGGAGTACGAATTTCACACATCAACGATTTAACATCGGAGCGACCGACAAATACAAAAAAATTGAATTTTTCTAACGACAAAACAGCAGCGCAACAGTTTCGCCCCTCTGGCAAAAATAAGAAATCATTGAAACATGTCTAAAAAGAGGGAAAAATAAGTACTGCGGAGACACCAGCAAAATGGGTGAGGAAGGGTGAACTGGATGCCAAAGGATTTTCGCAGGACCTGCTCTAAACTGGGGAAAAGTCGACGTCGAGTCGAGGCAGACATGAAAGTCTATTAGACTCAACGAAGCAACCTTAACGTCATTTTCCAGCTTCCTTCGGTTTCGTTTAGAGGGAGGTACATGTCGATGTGTGTGTGTGTGTGTGTGTGAGTGCGGGACAGGATATAGGACCTCTGCGTGTCTGTGTGGGTGCTGTGATTCACAAAAGCTGACAAGCTCATCGATCCCTGAACATTAGCTAAACATAAATTACACAGATGGCTGCACAACAATTGAGGCGTTTATTATAATGTGTGTTCACACTTGAGGCTTTCAAAAGATGCATTCAAGGCGATGGCAGGAGATGTGGAGACCTAGCAAAAGACAGAGACGAACAGACACACAAGTGAAAGAGGTGGTAGATTTATCTTTAGGAAACGAAAAATATTAATATAAATTAGGGCCTTGGCATCACGGAGCCAGCCTTCGTACTGGCAAGAGAATTTTTGCTTAATTCTCATTTGTCTAGATAATTAATTGTAGAAATTTGAGGAGTAATACAGATAGAAATCTGTGTGCTGTAATTAATTGAAAGTTTGTATCAAAATCTGAATTATGTTGCATAAATTAATAACAATTAAAAGGGACAAATTGATGAAACTCAAACCTGGAATAAGGTTCTCTTTTCTATTCAAATGATGTTCTGGGTGTTCAGCGAAATATATTTATAATCTCTTCTTGTTATTATTAACTCAGTGTTGAGAAGTTATAATGTCTCATCTACTTAATTTTTGTTTGTATAATTTTAAATGTTTGCCATGTTAGGCACCGCATTATTTATTCATACTACTTTCTTAAAAAGCACTACGCATCGATTTAGCGAAACACTCGACTTAACAGACCTTTTTTTATCTATAAAGACAAAAGACCGGAGACCCCCGGCTAAAAACTATTGCAAAACTCATTTATAGACGAAAAAAAGGAGCGAAACTTGAAGACTGCAATTGAGTACGCCCTCTCCTGTTTCTATAAGAAACAGCACCCCACTTAAGATAATCTCATTGGTGGCATGCCAAAAAGTTTCCCCCACACCCCTCCTCCTCACTCGCACACAGCACATAAAAATGTCACCGCAAAACAAAAAAAGAAAGCGGAAGGCAAAAAGAAAAACAGCAAAGCAAACAAGCAAGTGGAGAGGCTTCAACTAAAAAAGGTATTTCCTTTTAAATCAAATACAAAAATTGCTGCTGGGATTCCATTCCTCTGCTCGGAGTTCGCTTCCACCCCTCCCTCTCCGAACCCCTCTGTCCATCCCAACCTGGCGCTCTCGCCCTGGCCTTTTTACAAGTGGACACGATGGGCACTTCATTTCACTCCAAAAACATATTGAGCCGGGGCCTCTTGAGTGTGCGCCAAGAGATAAGCGCAATTATATGGCTTCAAGTGGCAGACCAGGACACGACTGGGGCACCGCAGAGACCACGGACAGCCACAGAGGTCGCACAGTAAACTGTATAAATTAGGTGAAAAAGAAAAAGGAACGTAACGTAACTTATGTGACACGGCCTTCATTGAGACAAATGTTGGGTCTTTAAGTGCATTTTTTCCGTTTCTTCAAGCACTTTAAACTTATATATTACGGATACGTACTACGTACACATACTCGTCTCGTATTGAAAATGTATACGGTATACAAAAGATGTGGCAAATTTTCCCGAACTTTGGCATCTCACATTTGTTTTCTCGTTCGGTCAAGTGCTCGTTATGGGCAATTTTTGTCCAACTGCTTTTTGTGGCCTTTTGTTTCGGTGGTTCCTTCTTTTTTGTTGACCACATGCTGAGTGTGGGTCTGGCCTGGCCCGTGGGCGAGGCGAGGCACCCATTGTGTGGGCCTCATTTTGAAGTGGCTTTGTGGCCGATCTCAAAAGACGAAACTTGTCTAGCATCGGTTTTTGGGGAAATGCTCACAAGTGACCATTGAAAAGTTTATACGATGAAGATGTCAATATGTAAGAAATGTCTTCGAGTGATGCTTATTATAGCTTGCGGAAACTTTTTGCGAAAATTCTGCCTAGGGGACAAAAAAGGCACGGCAGAACAAATGGAGAACAAATTGTCAGTTGTCGATATTAGGTGTTCTAGAAAAGTTTCTTCTACATTTTTAATCCAAGGGAAATTTACCAAGAGGTGTTTGGTAACTGTCAGTAAAGGAGTCAATTGATTCATTTAAATATAAAACTGTTATCAAGAATTTATAAAATTAAGAAACATGAAAGAAAAGCACCACGGCGCTGACAACACTTCAAACGAAACGAAACCATTAACATATTTGACAAAATTCACACCCAGGTATCGAACTTCGAGAACTGTAAAAACTACTCTTATTTATTTACTTATCCGTTGTTTTTGCTGCACAAAATCTTACAAAAATCGTCAGTACAAAAATTTGTTCTTATTTATTAGTTTTCCATTATGGGTGATCTCCAAAAAGACAGCAAGAAAGTCTCTTCTTATGTATCGAAAATACAAAAATACGCCCGCACCACTAATAATGGATTCCTCAACTTTCTGAGGGAATTCAAAACAAAATACGTCGGTCTCCACCCCAACATAATGGTGCAGTATGGAGCGCTGTCATGGAGAACAACGAGTGCCAAACAAAGCTTAAGTACAAAAATTTGACAATAACTAACAGGACTAGAGCGTCTAAGATGAAGGCTGATAGTCGCTGGTCGCTGTGTAGTATTTTTTAGAATAACAATTTTGTGTGTTTGATTTTGGATTTTATTTTTGAAAACTGTTCGTCAAGTTGTTATACAATAAAAGCATACTTTCTTCGAGTGAAATGGAATCCTATCCTACAAAAATGTAAGTGGGGGGTGCCCATAACTAGAGCGCGCCAACATCTAGAAAAATTCCCCTAATCACAAAATGATACAAGAAATTACGTATTATTGTGAACCAATTATGTTGCTCCGAATTGAGTGTGCGAATTGGTTTCAAATCTCTTGAAAACTGACCTATGTTTGATTTGGAGTGCATTACAGTGTGGACATTCTTTGGCCATGGTATCAACCAGCATTTTCGGATGAGCGGAATATTCACTAGTTGGTTCGTAATCGGATGCGAGCCGAAGAAACGAAGCGTATTTAAATGCTCGGTGTACTTTTGGCTTCGTCAACAATTTTGTTTTGCTTCAGTTCGAATTGTCGTTCGTCCATCTCGTGCCTCTTGTGATTTAGATTTTCACAACCTCGACATGCTCACAAGCACATTTTCGTTAAGGAAAGGTGAAAAATAGTTATAGCCTATGAGCATATTTATTTTACTAAATATTATTATTTACTAAATAGCATCGTGACACGAGTTTTTTATATATTAGATAATACTCATTCATTATAATGAATTAAAACGCAATATCCAGAGCAGATATAATTTTGGTCAATTCGTATTTATTTCTAAATTTCTTGTGTTTCTTTTTTCTTCTTCTATATTTCAAGCACAAAGTATACAAAGTCCTCCTTTTTGTATCCCTACGAGAAAATTGTTCAACAACAACCCATATATAACCTTAGTTGACATGGCTCAACCGAATTATTGAAATGGGTAAAGAAATGCCGGATTTAGCAGCGTCTCAAATCGCACACAAACACTCTCCTCTCTCTCCTTTTTAGCCACTTAATCTCCCAGATACTCTCAGACACTCGCACGCACAGACACCCAGTGCACATTCTGTAGAGAAACTCGAGTTTTGACTCTGGGTAAAAATTATGCGTATTGCAAAAATGTCCACCCTTCTCCCAATACCAGAGCTACGTCCCCTCCATAGACTACTTCTTTTGATGCGGCTGCTTCTCTGCCAATTTAACTACCCTGTAGTCATAGATCTTTGAAGTAGGTATTTTTGCTTTCCAATTTTCAGAGAAAAAAACTCTTCCTTTATCATTTCGTTGGAATAGTTGAATTTATAGGGCCCATTAAAATTTACATTTCAGTACAAGGAAATTCGTCTTAGACCACAAAATGCAAACTGATGCCGCAGCATTACAGATTCCAGAATATAGAAAATATTAAAAGAAAGAAATTATAACAAATATAATCAGTGTACAGTTTTTTGATTGCTGAAAATGAGAGTGTAGGGTGTTCCATAGTCGAGATATCGCCTACACCATTCAAGTTATTTTTGCAGTCTTCGTTTTCTATTTGAAGTACAAAATATTTTTCGTTTATTTGCGCAACGTTCCCCATACCTTCGTACACACAACTTTTCTTCGTCCTGGCCCATTCTTCTCCTTCGTTTTTCCCTCCTTGTCGACTACTTGGCACTGGCGTCGTCTGCTGGATGGAGCTTCTACCACTGCTCCTTAGAGCCACTGCTTTTTGGTAAGTTCTTCTCGGTTGGGTTTTCTGGATTTCTGCTCGTGCTTGTGCAATTTTTTTCTTCTGTGCGTTCTGCCAGGCGGCGTCAAACGTCGGGCGGCGCCAGCGCCAGTCCCCATGTGCGTGGGTGCGTATGAGTGATTCTTTTCCTCCTTGTTGCCTCC